AAAAATGCAACGTAGAATGGTATCTGAGCGAGTCTGACGACAGGCCCAAATCTAAAGAGCGAGACAACGTGGTTCGGTGATAAATATAAATACTTTTCTCTCTTCTCTTTGCTTTCCGACAAACCCCCTCTCCGGTCGTACTACCTTTTCTGCAATTATACAAACAATCTCTTTCTCAAATCTGTGCTGTGGATTGTGTATATACTTCACTTTTCTTTGTGTTCATGTTAGGTTTCCGTACATCAAATCTCTTGGTTCGGGGGGTTTTATAAGGAGGGTAGAGGAGACGGTAAAATTGGAGGGTTTTTCTGTTTGTTTCTCTCTTAGGGTTTCTCTAGATTGAGTAGAAATTGGGATTGGTAGAGTTTCTCTTTCTTCTAAAGGATTCTTGAGTTTGTATGAGTGCGAGGATTGGTGGACTTGGCATTTCGATTTTCGTTCTGCTTAGTTTGCCTCTTTGAGTTTTTTCTTTTCTTTTTCGTTGCGTTTGAAGAGGAAAGGAAGTTTTGCGCGCAATATATCTGCTAGGAGTGTTATCAGAATTCAATTTTGGCATTTTAATTCTTTTATTTGCTTTGGTATGGATCAGCTCTGTCCTTCTGGAGAATTTGAAGTGATGAATCGAGTTCTCTGTCTTAGGGTTTTTATTCTGGTAGGATGTTCAAATTAACCTTGAATTTAGGACTTGGAGGTGGTTTTGTTGTATTTGAATTCAGGAACAAGGTAGTAAAGATTGTGTTTTAGTTATAGTTTTTTAATTGGGAAACGCAGAATTCAAGATAAACAGTTACCCTTGCCTGGTGTTGTATTCTGATATTCAAATAAGTCGAAGGCTTAGCCATGGCCTCCTACAGGCCATTCCCTCCACAATCCTCCTTCCCTCCGCCATCAAATCAAAATCCTTTACCACCCCCGCAGCAGCAGAGAGGAAACCAGTATAATCAAAATTGGAACTATAGTGGTAGTAATGCTGGTGGGGAAGGGTCTACCTCTGCAGCTACTTCTTTTCCTCAGAATTTCAGTCAAGTGCAGCCTAATTCTAATTACCACCAGTCCTACCCTGCTTCTAGACCGCCACCTCCTCATCAGCAGTACTCTTATCCACCTCCTCCCCCACCTCCGCCTTCTGATTCCTCCTTCCCTCCACCACCGCCACCACCTTCAATGCCGCAAAATTCAATGATTTTACAGTCGCAGCAACCTCCTGCGTATTATCAGTCTTCTCAGTATCCACAATATAATCATCAGTCTATGCAGCCACCTCCTCCACCCCCACCTCCTTCTTCTCCACCCCCAAGTTCTTCAATTCCCCCCCCGCCACCTCCAGGTTCCCCTCCTCCGCCTCCATTGGCTCCTCCTCAAAGTAAGGAGGCTGGAGCAAATAAGGGATCAAAAGATCGTGATAAAGGGATGCATAGAGATGTATCCGAGTCTGGAAGGCGCGGGCACTCTAATCATGTGGTTCCAGTGAAACAGCAAAGACCCTCAGTTCCTCCTGGTAAGAAGCCAAATGATCCTCCTGGGAGGATGGAGACGGAAGAAGAGAGAAGGATGAGAAAGAAGCGGGAGTTTGAGAAACAAAGGCAGGACGAGAAGCACAGACAGCAGATGAAGGAATTGCAAAATAGTGTTCTGCAGAAGGCTCAACTAATGTCTGCGGGCAAGGGGCATGGTTCAATTGTTGGGTCAAGAATGGGGGATAGGAGGAGCACGCCTTTTCTAAGTGGTGAGAGGATTGAGAATAAGTTAAAGAAGCCAACAACTTTTTTGTGCAAATTGAAGTGAGTATATAATTTTGCCATTTGTTCAATAATTTTTTTTTCTTCGTCTCCAAATATCTTTTCTTTGAAGGAACATACTGAGTAATTTAAGTGTGCAAATGGAGCCAAATAATCAAGGAAAGCTTTTTTTTTTTCGCCACTAAAAAATTATTGAAATGTATGGAAAATGTTGGTGGTTTTTAACTCCATGTATTTTACTTTGATTACCTTGAAAACTCCATGTATTTAATAAAAACAGGTTGTTGAACTAGAGGAACTCTTGATCCTTGCATTTTTTGCTTAAGGTGGTTCTATAAAGTTATAAATTTCTGGACCGTGAACAGTAAATGGATGTGATATATGGCAACGAAGTGGCAAAATTATGATATATAACAATATTGTGGAACAATCTAGTATAGCTTCTACTAGTATAGTGTTGCGGCTAGAATTAATATGCTTTAGCAGGATTTTTATAGTTATTATATCTTATTAGAATTTTGTTTCTTATTTAGTCAGAGTTGTGTTCTGTTTGATATTTATTCTAATCATGTGGACACCCCATAGATAAATGGAGTACTCATCATTATTTTTAAGACTGGCCATGGAAAAAAATTATTAATATCTCAATGAGTAACAGTTCTGTTATTTTTAGTTGTGACAACCATATAATCGTGGTTGTTGCTAATCCCTGTGATTAAGGATTTGATTTTTATTTTCTAGACCTTATCTCCTCTGTTCATATCGGAGAATGTTATATTTGCTAAAGATATTCTGGATGATAATGTGACGACATGTCCATGCCATTTTTTTAGTTGTTAAATATGCACAAGGTTAAATTGTGAATCAATGATATTGGTATTCTTTATAACATGGTCTGGTTTATGTCAATAGTCTTCTGTTTTTTGGTAAGAGAAAATAATCTTCTCTTAGGTGTAGTGTTGTTTTATTTCAGTTTATGAAACTTGTTTTCAAGGCTTACTTACAAACGCTCTATTCTTGTGCTTTCTAAAGATTCCCGGAATGAGCTACCTGATCCAAGTGCACAACCGAAGCTCATGGCGCTAAAGAGAGACAAAGATCAGTATGTACTTCTAAACAGTTGCTTAGAAAAAGAATTATCGCTTCATTGTCTTGCTCAAAATTTTGTCAAAATTTGGGTTTAATTCGGGTTCGACGAGTACCTGCATAAACATATTGTTTTTCTCGTGTGCACAGAGGTATTAGTGTGGTGATATATCGACAGTTGTTCTCCACTTATATCAGTGGTCCATGCTTGCTAACAATAAATTTTTAGGAGAAGCTCTGACTTTTATGATGAACGAAACAGTAAAAAACTCTTCTAGTTGTCAGATGCTAAAGTGAAACTATAAAAAAAATGTAAATATTTGAACATTGTGCCAAGATAGACATTTAACTAATTCTCTTTGGGAAGGCATTTGAAAAAAATGCGCCCTTCTTAGAAGTTGGAAGAATGAACCATATTATGCGAGTTTGGACACTAATTTCTGTTATGAAGTATTTGAAAATTTCGATGTTAGTGTCATGCTACCATGTAAACCTTCTTTTGGCATATAGCATTTATCTAACAAATGGAAGACTAAGAAAAAACTGATATTTGATAATATACTATGTTCTGTTTTATAGAAAAAAAAGGATGTTATGAAGAAACAGATAATTTAGGATGCTATCCCTTAAGGATATAAGGGTCATCGGAATAAATAGGTAAGCTGGTAATTCTCGCGTACTTGAGGATGCAAAACATAGGAATTGTGGAATAAGATATAGGCAGAACTAGCTTTTGATCTTCTGGGTTAGCTTTTAGATTTCTTACCGTTACCAATGGAAAAAATAGTTTGAGATGGACTCTACAGTGTTTTTGCTTCTGTCATTATTATTAACACATCTCAGTTTCTTTTTGACGTTGTCTCTATACATTTCACTTTAAAGTGGATAATGAGCAAATAGATCTGGTGAAAAATGGTCAACAAAGTTCTTTCAATAGTATTAGATCTTCAGAAATTAATGTACTGCCATACTAGTCATTGGTTTGGGTCCAAAGGATAGAGCTTTGCTTGAATACCAAAGAATTAAGAAACAAAAAAAATGCAACAAATTAGACTGTTGTTCATGCTAGTCATTGGTTTGGGTCCAAAGGATAGAGCTTTGCTTGAATCATCAAAGAATTAAGAAACAAAAAAATGCAACTAATTAGATTGTTGTTCAATGTTTTGTAATTGTTTGATCTTAACTGAAGCTGCTTTTGCAGATTCTGATAGAAATTTGATATTTTTAAATTTAATGTAAACTAATCTGGGCTAGTGTTACAAAACTTCAGAAGCACAACTTCTCTCTTGGTTTGTCTATGTTTCAGGATCTGATTCAGTTTTCATAATCTTATGGTAATTGTTGTTATCCTTTCTGACAGATATACAAAATACACTATAACATCTCTGGAGAAAATGTGGAAGCCTGAACTATATGTGGAGCCTGATATTGGGATACCTCTTGACCTGCTTGATCTCAGTGTATACAAGTATCATTTTTCTGACTTTCTTTTTTCTTAGGAAGTAAACAACTTGTGGTGAGACAATTCTTACTTTTATTTTCTGCTGGTTTGATCAGTCCTCCCAGTGTTAGACCACCTATGGCCCCTGAAGATGAGGAATTATTGCGTGATGATGAAGTTGTTACCCCTGTGAAGAAAGATGGCATAAGAAGGAAAGAAAGGCCAACTGATAAAGGTGTTTCTTGGCTGGTTAAAACACAATATATATCTCCACTTAGCATGGAGTCGGCCAAACAGGTAAGCATATAACTACATAATTTTAGGTTTGGTTCTTTGTTAACAAATGTTGATAGAGATTTATCATTATTAAACGCATTATCACTTGCAGTCTTTAACTGAAAAGCAAGCAAAGGAATTGCGAGAAATGAAA